ATTACTATTGTATATTTATATTACTATTGTACATATATATTTGTAACATTAAGCATACATTATAAATATATAAATATATGTTATCTGTGTGTGTGCGCGCGCACGCGTATAAATTATACACCCAATGTCAATGTTTCTCTGTGGTATCTGCTACCCAAAAACTCATGTTTTACTCAGCAAACCATGGCTGTGCAAATTGTGATTAATCACAATTGTTTCAATTTTTGAATGATTTTAATGTGTCCTTAACAACTTGTTTGCACCAGTAGAGTTATTCCAGCACAGTATAGTGTTGTAATATAGCTCCTTGTCTAGGTGTGGGTCACCCATGGTCCAGTTTGTACCAGGGCATGCAGAGCCACGTTGAACCACACAGGAGAAAACAAACTCCTAAAACCCCATAACATCCTGATAGTTTATAACATAACATCCTGAGATGTGCCCTACCAATGACGTCCAGGATTTGACCATATATAGACAGAACTTCCCTGAGCAGTAGATTAGAAATTGTACTTTTACAGGCTGTTTTTAACCACATGCTATTGCTCCTCCTGCCTTTGTCCTATCTCAATAAAAGGGGCTACCAGACCCCCAATCTGGGTCGCTCCATCCCGAGAAAGGTTGTGTCCTGTCTTTTCTCAACATTGGCCTCATGGACGAACCACGGGAACGTTACAGTATAGTCATTTTGTTTTCAGTGAGTCTTGTAAACAGGCATTATTGAATTCATTGCAAATGTATTTTTTTCAAATTCAAATGTGTTGCCTCTCTCTTCCCTTTGTTTTCACCTTTACCAGAATTTAGAGGACTTGATCCTTAAATCAAAGATTTGGTATTTTTGCTTAGGGTGCACTGCATATTGTTTTAATCATCCTGCCTTAGTAATTTAGACAGGGGTGAAATTCAGCATGTTCCGACAGGTTCTAGAGAACTGGTAGTGGGAATTTTGAGTAGCTCGGAGAACTGGCAAATACCATCTTTGGCTGGCCCTGGGGTGGGAATGGAGATTTTGCAGTATCCTTCTCCCAGAAGTGGGGATGGAATGGGGATTTTGCAGTATCCTTCCCCTGCCATGCCCACCAAGCCATGCCCACAGAACCGGTAGTAAAAAAAAATGAATTTCACCCCTGAATTGAGACTGTTTTACCCATGAAGGTAGCTGGGTAACTTTGGGCCAGTCACTCTCAGTCCAAAAAGAAGGAAAGGACAAACCACTTCTAAAAACAGTTTCCCACGAAAACTAGTAGTCACTGAGACTCAAAACTGACTTGAAAGTGCACACACTTATTGTGCATTTCCTGAAATGTATGTGCACCCGTAACTGGATTATATATTTAATTGTGATTGGAGGCTACCCAGATGTTTGAGAAATATACAGGAAGTTTCATTAAAGGAAAGGAAACTGGTTAACGACGACTCCTCCCCGCATTAAAAAAAAGTCTTGCCAAATAAACTTTATCTGATTCTAACAGCTGTGATGGAAAGCAATACTGTAAGATGAAAAAAAACAACAACCTTGTTACTTGTAAGCTTCAGCTTTATAGTCAGAATATATGTAGAAGTTAAAGCATGGTTTCTCAATCTCAGCTTCTTTAAGATATGTGGACTTCCCAGGCTAGTTGCTAAGGTTTATAAACTCTGGGTTCAAGGGTGATTGCAAGCTACATAAGAAAAAAAAAGAATAATGGGAGTTTTTACCAGACACCCTAAAACCACACATCAAAACAGTTTTATCAATATAAATTGCCCATCGAGTGACACCAGACTCACATCGCAATTCAGAGGGAAGTAGGATATTTTTGGGTAATGGAAGTGGGAGGGGGGAAGACGTCATTTGGATTTTCTGTTTTAAGCAATTCATTGCACGAAAGCTTTGCTTTCGAAATGGCAGTAGAGAGTCTGGTTTTTCCCAATCAGGTGAACTCCAGATGTGCCAGAACTGCAACTCCCAGAATCCCTAGCCAGGAATTCGCATTTAGACTCCCATTGCTGGAATAATCAAACCCACTAAGACAAGATGCCATGATTCTGGATTAGGACCAAGATTTGGAAATCCTGGGCTCTAAAGTCCTGGAAAATCTGGAGGCAGCTAGTTTCTGGTCCAGGGGTCCCCAAACTTGGCAACTTTAAGACTTGTGAATTTTAACTCCCAGAATTCTCCAGCCAGAAGTCCACAAGACTTAAAGTTGCCAAGTTTGAAGACTGCTGCTCTGGTCCATAAATACCACATAAGACCAGTCTGCCCACCCCTCCCCTCCTCCGCCATTCTTTTATTGTGAACTCGATTTTCAGACACAAACCCCAAATGGAGCATCCTGCGAAAACTGTGGCACCCTCGCCCTGCGGCTTGCTCTTCTGAAACAACCCCAAGAGGAAAGCAAAGAGAGGCTGTCTACTCATAAACACGCTGTGTGGTTTGGGGGAGACAAGGGAGGACGACAAGGTTCGAGGCAGCGGAAAGATGAGAATTTCCACCTTAGATCATATGTCCCTATATACCTTGCGGGATAGGAAGTGGCTGCCTTACAGTACTCCTCCCCCCCCCCACCTCCCTGGTAAGCCTACAGCCTGGGATTTCCCGGTGGTCTCCTCTCCCACAGAAATGACAAGGTGGCTCAGTAGGTAAGACGCTGAGCTTGTCGATTAGAAAGGTCAGCGGGTTCGAACCCCTAGTACAGGTTTCCTGCGTGAACGTGGGGGGGTGTTGGACTAGATGACCTCCAAAGGTCCCTTCCAACCCTGTTAAGTTTAAGAGCCTGGCGCGAACAGAGCCGGCTCAGGCTTTTTGAGGTCAGCCAAGGTCGGCTCGGGATCACGTACCATGCAAGGGCGGGGGAGACGCCGGGGGAGTCACGTGGCTCCCGAGGCACCGCACCTGAACGGGGTTGGGGAAATCTAACGGCCTCTTTCGCTCCCCCCCCCCGTCGCCCATCCACCCCCATCCATGATCTTGGTTTGGCCCACCCGTGCATCGAGTCCAGCCGAGCGGCGTTCCAACGGCGCCGCAGACGAGGGTTTCCCTCGCTCGCCTCCCCCCTCCTCCTCCCCCAAGGCGGGGGAGGCAGGATGACGTCTCTTGGCAGACACACACGCGCCGCAGCGCAGCGCCGGCGCCGCCTGGCCCAGACAGGGGCGGGGCTTGGCGGGACGCGCGAGCCGGGCGGATTCCTTGCCCGTGCGCCGCCGCCACCACCACCACCGCCGCCGCCTCCGTCACGGCGGCTTTTCCACTCTTCCTCCTCCTGTCTCTGCAGTGAGGTCACGGGTGGGCGGTACGTTGGCGGCAGCAGCAGCCGCTTCCCTTCCACTCTTGGGAAGAACCGGGGCGCCCGCTGGGATGTGCGGTAAGGAGAGGAGGACGTTTCCCACCCTCTAACCGGGGGGGGGGGGGGCAGTCTGTGAAAAGAAGGGCGGGCGGGCGGCGTGTAGGTTACACTGAGTTAAATGGAACGGCGGGGAAGGCGGGAGGGGGGGGAGAGATGAGAGGCGAGCACCCATCCCCCCCAAACCCGACCCGGGGTGAGAGGGAGGGAATTACAGTGGGGGGGGGGGACTCCGCCGCCGCCGCCGCACAGTCCGGACTCATTTTTCACCTCACCCCCTCTTCGCCACCTGAGCTGCGCCACGACGCCGGTGCTCCCCAGGGCGGGGGGGGGAGGGGGAGGATGGGAATTGTAATCCAGCCGCTCCGCGGAGAAGATGGCTGGGAGTTAGGGAAGGCTGGCCTAGATCGCCCGGGGAGGCTTGGAAGAAGGAGCGGAGGAAGGGTCCGGGAGTAGGTTTGGGGGCTGCTGCTGTGGGGTGAGAAGCGGGGCTGCGGAACGGCATTAAGCTTCCTGAGGGGGTGTGTGGGAGGGGCGGGAAAGCCCCCCAACCCGATCATCGTCCTGGAGGTGAGGGGGGGGACAGACACGGGGTGAAGGGCAGACAGAGGGAGTGAGGGGGCAGACGGGGTAGGTGGAAGGGGGCAGACGGGGTGAGGGGCAGACGGGGTGAGGGAGGCCGTCAGAGGGAGTGAGGGGGCAGACGGGGTCAGAGGGGCAGACGGAGAAGGGGAGGGGAGGAGACAGGGAGTGAGGGGGAAGACAGGGTGAGTGGGGCCGTCAGAGGGAGTGAGGGGGCAGATGGGGGGGTCAGAGGAACAGACAGAGGGAGTGAGGGGGACAGACGGAGGAGGGGAGGAGACAGAGGGAGT